CATGGCCGGGAAAGAGGCTGCCCCTCCTCCCTTACCGTAAAAAAGACCGGAACCTTTCCCTACAATAGACATGGGCGGGGGAGAGGTTGGTTTTCTTCCGCGGGGCAGAGGCCGCCACCCACCCCTGCTTAAAAAAGGCACCCCCCCCTTCCTTCCCAAAATCCCCTCCCCCCTCCCTCCCGGCCGGACCCCAATTTGCCCCTTGCCGTGCCCCTCGCCCGGCCCCGTTGGCCCGCCCCTAAGCCCCTTTTCCCTTCACCCCCCCCCCCCCCCTCTCCCTCAGGAGCCTCTCCTCCTCCGCCACCCGACTGGCCTCCCCTGCTGCTGCTGCCCGCGCCAGCAGCCCCACCCTCCGCTGCAAGAGCGGCACGAGCCTGCCCCCGTAGGCCTCGGCCTGCTGCTCGAGTCGTACCAGCAGCGCGTCTACTCCCTGCCGGACTCGCGACTCCACCGCCGCCGCCTCGGCCAGATGCCGCGAGGCGTACGGCGGCACCTGCCTGCCGACCAGCTCTGCGGGATGGATTCTTTCATTCATTCTCAATCACCGTAGGCGTGCAGCGGCCCGTGCCTGCCGACCTGCTCTGCGGGTGGGAGTGCCACTTCGAGGTACACGCCAGCCCTCGCCCTCGCCCTCGCCCTCGCCCTCGCCCTCGCCCTCGCCCTCGCCAGCACTCGTAGCTACCCCCTCCCCCTCCTCCCCCGGGGGCAGGTCCAGGAGTAGTCGGGGACGGGCGCGGGCGGGTGCGGCGCGGGGCAGGAGATCGACCTGCACGAGGGGCCTGGCGACTCGTGGATGAAGCTCGTCTACTTCGCTTGCATCTCTTGAGCTCCTCTCGGCACTCGGGCCCCCGCGGGCGAGGGTCGCCTCGAGAGGGTCGCAAGAGCAGTGCTGCGCCGTCTCTGCCCGGCGGCGGGCGCTGCGAGGTCGCTCCGGCGGGGTGTGTGTGTGATGGTGTGCCGTGTTTCAGGAAGGGAGAGGGGGCGGAGGGCGCGGGGAACCCCCCGAGATGGGTATTTAAGCCTTCTTGCAGCGGCGAGAGCGTGGAGTCAGCGTTGCGCGCGCGGCGAGCGAAAAGGAATTCAATATAGAAATAGAGGATGGGCAAATAAAACTCTCTGATCAGTGATGCGATATGCGGCGCGCTATATGTCCTCTATTGTACCTTTTTGCATGTCGGGGAACACGGCGCACATTATTGATCTCCTGCGCAAGACCGTCGTCCCCAGCCGAGTATTGCTATTGGCGACGGACGCATTAGGGCTCGCGCTCGCGCGCGCCCCCCCACCCGCCCACCCCCACAGTCATGGGCTCTATGGCTCAGACTGGACTCCTCTTGGTCCCTTCTGATGCCCTAGGCCACACCTGGGCCTTACCCGGGGTTCTAGGGGGCGGGCTGGGTTTGCCCCCCCTCTTGCCCGAGGGACGTTAAAAAAGAAACCTCCACTTTTGTTGCTGTGTGGACGCGCTCGCACCAAACGCGCACGCTCTCTTCGGTTTTGCACGCGCCTCCCGTTCGAGACTCACTCGTTGAGCTACATGGAGCGCGTTGCAGCCTCCTCCCAGGCTGTCTGCTGCACGCTGCAGCCGCTCAATGCGCGCCTGTCGACGCTTCGCATCGCCCTCACCCCCGGCCAGCGCTTTCGGTTCGGCCGCCACGCAGAGTGCGAGCAGTCTTTTCCGTCCGACTATCGCATCTCATCTCTCCACGCGTCGCTCCTTCTCGACGTGTGGGACGACGGCACGCCCTGCATAGCGATCGAAGACTCGTCCATCAACGGCACATACATCAACGCCGAGCGGGTGCCAAAGGGTGCACGCCTCCGCCTGCGCTCTGGGGACCAGCTCTTCCTCGTGATTCCGTCGGAGGAGCTGCTGCACGCGACTGGCTACGAGGGCTCGCTCGTCGCAAAGTTCATCGGCTATGTCTTCTCCTACGACAGCGACGTGACCCCAGCCGCTGCGCCCGTCGGCCGCCTCTCCGGCCGCTTCGTCCCCGCGAGCGAGAAGTCGGCGCCGGAGGACGCGATGGGGGAGACGGACCCATGCAGCAGCCAAGCGGCCTCCTCCGGAACGCCCTCCTCGATCGCACAGATGACAGCCGCCGCCCGCGCCGCCGCCGCCACCGCCGCCGAGCCGCCGCCGCCGATGGACCGCTTGCGGCGAGTGGCGGCCGAGCTGCACGAGGAGCGGGACGCGGCCGCCGGGAGCGGCGAACCACCCCCGCCGACCGGTGCTGCCGGCGAGCTGCCACCCGCCGTGTCGATGGCCACATGGCTCGCCAATCTGCGCTCCGTTGAGAGCGCCCGCCCGCCTTGGTCGGTGGCCTCTGAGGACCTCCAAGTGCGACGAGTGCCTCGTGCGCCGTCCGGGCAAGTTCCCAGCGGCAGCTGATCGCCGTTACAGCGTTACAGTTGTGAGTTGACCTAAATTTGCCCGCGCGAGAGGCGAGATAGCGGGGTCCGGGGAAGCTCCCGCTCGAGCGCTCCCCTCTGCCTCCTCGACCGCTTGTGGCTAGTTCCATTTCACTGTGGCACAGCTCGCGTTACAAAACCTTGATTTGACCATTTGCGCACAAAGGTACATCTCGGTGCCTTCCAGAGGCAGCTGCGCGTCCTGGGTATGTACCTTTGTCGCGCGCCGGAGACGACTCGACGCCGCTGAGACCGGAGATCAAGCTCTGACAGGTCGCACGTCGCTCCTTTGACGCCGACGTGACTCACCCGTGCAGATCACATCAGGACACGGTCTCGACACGCTCGGTACGACGCCTGCGACCCGTCTTGGGTCAGGTGGCACGACGCTCATCGCGCCTACCAGCGCTGCCGTGCAGGTTGCCACGACGAGGTCGAGCACGCTTCTATACGCTCGCCCAGCCTTCCTTTCCATCCCATTAGGCAGCCTGGGAACGGTGGCGGTCAGAGGCAAAGCCTGCGAGGGGTGGTGGAACCACATGTCACGGCTACCGCGCCGGCTCGACCCCACGATAGCCTCCGGAGGCTGACTTTGAGGCACAATCATCGGACCACGTCGGCGAGTTGAGTCGCGCTCGCGGTAGCCAGATGACCTCTCATACTAGTATCATCGGCCATGGCCGCAGGAAGCGCGGGGGATTCCGCTGGGAGCAACACGGAGCTCCGTTGACGCGTTTTCAAGATTAGCGTGTCAGAGTGAATTGGAACTAGCCTGTCCTTGTCGTGCTTCGAGCCCCCCAAAGGCCAGACCACAATTATCAATTTCTGTTTCAGCACATCGTCAATTACATGGCTCATGGGCGGGGAAGACTTGCTCCTTGTTGCCCATCTCCTAGACGTTAGAGTAGGTCCTACTCCTAGAGCAGAGAGGTGTGTCGTCCTACAAGCTGTGCACGTTTTTTTATGTATTATTTATTTAGATCGTCAATGTGAGCTTGCCTGCGCGCTTGCTTAGCGCTGCCTGCCTGGGGAATAGGGAGCAGGCCAGATGGTTCCTCAGAGTAGCGCGAGCGCAGACGGGGACGGCGATCAGCAAAGTTGTAGCACAGGCGGACTGACAGGCGGCACCCGACTCCAAGGATACGCTGTGAAGACGCTGAGGATAGCGCATGTCGCTGCGCTAAAGGGCTCACGCTATAGGGTGCTGGATGAGGACGGGTACGATGCACTAGCCCCTGCCGTCGGGGGGGTGTTGCCGGCGCTGGTAGATGATCTCTCGGAGAAGAGTCGGAGGGACCTTGGCGCCGGGGTCACGAGGAACCTGCAAGTCGTGGGCGAGGCGGCGACGGGAGCGGTGCAGAGGTGGATCCAGCTCAATGGTGAGGCTACGGCGCGCATAATGAAGAGAGAGGAACACATCGAGTGGCTGAGGAAGCTCTTCGCTGGGTGGAAGGAGGCCCGGCCGGCCTTGAGGGAGTCGCAGAGGAGGAGGGATAACGCAGGCAACGCAGGGACGGGCCAACAGCCTGTGGGACGAACGAGGGCCGCGACGGCAGCTCAAGCGGGAGGGAGCGGAGACAGTGGGCAGCGAGCGAAGTGGGTGAGACTGATGATGCTCCTTCGACTTAGGGAGCGGTACAGCTGCTGGGCGGGCTTCAGCGTTCAGGGTGGTGCTCACGCGAAAAGGAATCGACGCGAGGTACAAAGCATACAAGAAGAGGAGAAAGAAGAGGAGAGACACCGGTGATGACGAAACAGAAACTAGCGCAGGCGAGAGCAGGGCAGACCCGGGGACTGGGGAGCCGGAGCAGACGGCATCGGCCGCCGAGGGAATGTTGGGAAGAGGCACGAGGAGGGCGGCGACCTCGACCGACTATGGAGGACCCGTCACCAGACGACGCAGGGCAGACGACGGGGAGGCGGAGCAGACGCGCAGGGCGAGACGAGGGAGGGAGCAGGACGTTGCGGAGATCAGCAGGAGGAGATGTACGAAGAGATTAGGAGCAGCAGGGACCCGAGGGACCAGGTGGAAGACGGCTAGTGCTAGTCCCCCATCGGGAGGACGACCCGGGCTAGTCGCCGACCACACCCACAAAGAACCCTGCACAAAGATCGCACGGGCGGGGACCTGTTCCTTTTTACCCATCTCACAGTAGAGAGGTGTCCGTTTTTATTCATTTATTTATTTGCCTGCGCGGCGAGGGCCCGGGCGAGTGCACGCAGCACGGAGCTAATAAATAAGTGCTTCGCCGTCCAAGCACCAAGGAGTCGCATTACCTTTAAGGCGGCTCCCTACGACCCTGTGTTAGTGCCAGTGGGTGCCGCAGTGCGCGCCACCGCCAGTCCCGTGCCTATTGTTGTTTTGTGCTTAGGGTACCCCTAGGCTTAAAAGGGTGGGCCCTGGGGCGCCTGCGGCTTAAACGGCTTAAAACCGGCCTAGGCCGGTTTTAAGAGCTGCTGGGCCGCCGATTCCTTAAACGGTCTTAAACGCTTAAACGGTGCGGGAGAGCTCCCGAGGTCGATGGTCCGGGAGGCTCCCGGTAGACGCCGGAGGCCGGGAAGCTGGCTACAGTCAGCTGGCACGCGTCCCCTATGCGAGTATGGCTCCTGCCAGTGCACCAGACCTACAGATGTGTCTTCAGAGGCGGGTTTGTGCCTAATAAAGGCAGTATTGGATAAAACGGCGCGGAACCCAGCGACGCGTGCCGGTGAGGCCGATTTTCTTAAACAGACTTAAAAGAGGGACCCCCCCGTGCCTGCAATCTCTTAAATGACAATTTGAGCCCCCAAACCTCCTCATTTCCTAAAAGGTCTTAAAACAATCCGGCCCTCAGAACCCTAGGGGTACCCTAAGGTTTTGTGCGAGTGAGTGCGTTTTATTGGAAAGGTCTGTGTTAGTGCCAGTGCGCGCCAGTCCCGTGTGCCCAGTGTCGTGTGAGGGAGTTTTGTTGTAAAATTCTGTTTTCTCACGACCACGAGTACAACTGTACGCCTCACCGGAGTGTAAGGTGCATATATGGGCTTCCATCCAGTATCGGACCTTCAAGACATGCGCTTTTGGCCGGTGGCCTCCTCGGACATGGTACCTCCGGTGAGATAGTGGCTGCCAGTTCGAGACTGGGGCCGATCGAACTTGAGTTGTTCGGAGGAGGAATCCGGCCAGCACGGGTACAAAGAGGGGTATACCCGGAGAATCCCCAGCTGCGGAAACGTAGCTGTCGCTCAAGAGGTGCGATACTGCGGGGGAGTGTAAGGTGCCTATATGGGCTTCCAGTATCGGACCTTCAAGACATGCGCTTTTGGCCGGTGGCCTCCTCGGACACGGAGTCACCATCGCAGGCTGACAACGCAAGTTTTGATAGGCCGCGTCCGCCCGCCTCCGTTTCGCTCTCAGCAAGATTGCCTTGTCAGGGCCCACAGGATGCTAAGCCTCGGCCAGGGGTGGGATGGCGTCGATTGGTCGACACTGTCTTGGAAGGGCGGGCACGGGAATTGGTCGAATGACGCCATGTGGGCGAGGAGCGGAGGACCGGCTACCAACATTCCCGCCCGCGCTGTCGTGTGCTCTTCCAACGGAGCTAATGTCGTCATCACTAGTGATGCCGGAAGTGGCACTAGAAGTCTGATGCTCTGCCTTGGCAACACGCTGGATGTTGGTGCGTCACTATCTGTCGGGGCCCCAACCTCCGGCTCTCTCATTCGGCCTCCGCTGCCACCGTTGCCGTTGCCGTTGCAGGCTCCGGTGGTGCCATCCAGCCCATTTCCACTCGAGGCGGACATTCCTGCCGCGCCTTCGGTGCCTCTGCCACCCCAACCCGCGCCGCCACCATGCGGGCCCGGTGTCCTGGTGCTCGACGCACCGGCCAACTCCACGACGGTGTACGTGGACTCTTACGCGTGCGGCCTGCAGGCCGGCGGCACGATCACCATCGGCAGCGACGCCAACCTTACTGTCACGAGCCTCGGAAGCTCGGGCCGACGACGCGCTCTCGCTTCAAGGCAACTTCAAGGTGTGGGTCTGGCCGTGTCGTTTTCGCCTGCGCTGGTCAACTCGTACGCAGCGGGTCAGTCTGTGGAGCTGCAGGTCATTGCTCGCGTCAACCTGCCGCTAGCGCCGCCAGCCAGCCCATCAATGCCCCGATCAGCACCCACCGTGCATACTACGGACACCGAGAGTGCACCATTCGACCCATGGGCATGGGGGCTCATCTCTGCAGGGGCAACTGCATTGTGCTGCGCCGTTTGCTGCACCCTGCGGCTGCTTCGGCGCAATCGCCTCCGAATACGCCGCCCGCCGCCGCGCAAGCTATCCGCACGTGCAATTCCCAGCCACTTGAACGGGTTCTTATGACAACTAAGGCCGTGGGTGGAACGGCCCGCCCCCCACCCACGGCCACCGCCTCGAGTGGCAACGTCGGTGGACCAAGCGAGCGCAGCAGTGCATCGCGGGGAACTGACGGCGGCGCCACCGGCGGCGGAGCTGCCGACGATGGCGCTGGCAGCGGTGCCGGCGGAGCTCCTGGCCCCACGGCGCCTCTCGTTGTCCTCGAACCATCGGACGCCTCCGCCCTTGCCAGCATCAGCCACAGCGGCTGCGCTTCGTCGCAACTCTTTCGTCGGAGGCCGCTGCTCGTGCGATCACGCCGAGCCCGTCACCGGCGCCGCTGGTGCTGCGCATCGCCTCTCGCCGTCGCCAAGGGCAAAAGCGAGGCGCCTCTCCCTGGTCTCTGTGACGAGCTCTGAGACCATGAGCCCGAGATCGCCGCGCGCGACGAGCCCGAGGCCGCGGATGCTGCCGCAACAGCACCGGAGGAGCTCCATCGTCCCTGTGGATGAGCTGGACGGTGCCGGGAGCGAGACCCCCGCTGGCCGGTGGCAGAGCCCTCGGCGCCACAAGGTCAGCCCGTCCTTTAGCGAGGTATGATTTGGAGCACTTGGAGTGCAGTTAGTAACCTCACATCCAGGGCCGGGGAGCTAAGAAGCGCACCCAGCGGGCCCGCGGATGATCGGCATCGGGCTACGGGCTAGAGAGCCCTGACCCCTAGGGGGGGTGCGCGTTCGCAGGGAAAGGGCCGTAAAATAAACACGGGTCTCCGAGGGTTAGCTCCGCGCTCCGGGTTCCCCCTAGCAGCCGCCCCCTCTACTCGGAGCTAGTATAAAACACACCTGACAGCACGGACACGACGCCCACCCACCCCCGGCGCCTCACCACTCCGGACCCCCCTCCGTGGTCTCCCTACTCTCACTCCGGGGTGTCTTCCCCTTCCTCTCGGTCCTTCCTTCTGTTCGCATCCCGATAGTTGTGCGACGGGCGCGGGGCCCGACCTCCCCTTCTAGCCTTTTTTGGCCGCGGCCCCGCCACCGCTCGTCCCCTCTGCCCGACCTTGTCGACCCCGCCGACGGTGATCCCGTGCCCGACCCCCCGGGTGAGGGCGGTGGCATAGGGTCGCGTCGCCTCCCCGCCCGGGGAGGTCGGGCCGGCTCTCCCTGGTCGACGAGTGGCGCCCGCATCTGGTTTAGCACTTGGAGCACTTGGAGTGCAGTCATTAACCGGTCCGCACATCCAGGGCCGGGGAGCTAAGAAGCGCACCCAGCGGGCCGGATGATTGGCATCGGGTTGCGGGCATGAGAGCCCTAGCCCTGCCTGGGGGTGCGCGTTCGCAGGGCAAGGGCCGTAAAGTAAACACGGGTCTCCGAGGGAGGGTTGGCTCCGTGTACCGGGTTTCCCCTTAACTTCAGAACGCCCCCTCTACTCGGAGCTAGTAGACACGACGCTGTATTGCAATACACCCCGCCACAACGACCCCTGGAATTGCGACTCGCCGCTTTCCTCCCGCTGTGATCCTGTGTGAGCTCTGTGTCTTGATTTGCCAACAACATACCTAAAAAAGAAAGAAAGAAAGAAAACAGACACGCCAAACATACCTAAAACGCACGTAGACTCTAGCCCCTGCCTTTTCTTGCGCTCCCCCTGTTGGCCCCACACTCTCGCCACCGAGCGACCATCATACATGGCGCCGATCGACCGCGACAAGCTCCTCTCGTGCTTCACGGCGCACGTCGCGTGGGCGGAGCGTCCCTGCGTGCAGCGCACCTGGCGAACGCTGCGTGGGGAGGCGCCGCTGGGCAGCAGTGCGCTTCCGAAGCCTCCCGCTTCGTCAACCGCAGCGGCAGGGTCGTCGAGCTTCACGGGCGTCGGCCGCATATTTGGTCTGCACAACTTCGATGCGGGCGGGCTGCTGGGCGATGGAAACTACTCGCAGGTCATCCAGGCAACGGTGAGACCGACGCAGGAGCAGGTGGCGCTCAAGATTGTCGACAAGGCAAAGATGAACCGCTACCACAAGGCGGACGAGGTCATCGTCGAGAAGTACGTGCTCACGCACGCTGACCACCCCTCCATCATCCGGCTGTACCACACCTTCCAGGACGCCTCCGCGCTCTACCTCTGCCTCGAGCTCGTGCCTGGCGGCGAGCTGTGGGCGCTCTGCCACCGGCGCGGCATACACACCTCGCACGCGGCGTACTTCGTCTCGCAGCTGTGCGAGGCGCTGCAGCACCTGCACGAGCGGCGCATCGTCCACAGAGACGTCAAGGCGCGCCGCCCACCCGCTGCAAGAGCGCCCTCGCTGCCGCTTTCTGAGCTGCCCGCCTCCCGCCTCCCGCCTCCCGCCTCCCGGCAGCCGGAGAACGTGCTGCTGACCGCCGAGGGGCGGCTCAAGCTGATCGACTTTGGGTCCGCGAAGCTCATGGACGCGGTGGAGACAGACTCGCCGCTGCGCGCCTCGCTCTGCCTCGCCGACCCCTTCAAAGACTTCGTCGGCACACTTCCTAGACACTTCCTAGACACTTCCCTGCCGACCCCTTTAAAGACTTCGTCGGCACGGCAGAGGACCGCCATCCCGGCTAGTCGGGGTCATTCCTTAGGCGTAGACTCATTGGCGAATAGGCACGGCGGAGTACATGGCGCCCGAGGCGATCGACAACAAAGGCGGACCGCCACCGAGACACTTCCTTGACACTTCCATGCCACTTCCATGCCACTTCCTTGACAACAAAGGCGGACCGCCACCGAGGCCGCAGAACCGCTCGCCTCCCGAGGCACTCACGAGGCTCCTCGCTCAGCAGGCACCGACTGGCGCTCGGACCTCTGGTCCCTCGGCTCCTTCACATGTGCGACCCTCCCGCCGCCGCCCTCCCGCCACTCCCCTCCCCTCCTCCCGCCACTCCCCTCCTCGCCTCCCGCCACTCCCCTCCCCTCCTCCCGCCACTCCCCTCCCCTCCTCGCCACCACAGCTCCGCCACACAGCTCCGCCACCTCCTCGCCCCCCACGCAGGCATGCTCCTCGCCGGCGAGCCCCCCTTCCGCGGCGGCTCCGACTACCTCACCTTCCGACGCGTCCAGGCCCCCGCCCCCACCACCCGCCTCGATCTGGGACCTCTCGCCGGGCTCCCCGCCCCCCCA